GGTTTCGAAGAACTTCTTTATTTCTGCCTTCATTTCGTTGTTTACCCAGTCAACATTCAAGAGCCAGTTGTTCAGTTTCCATGAAGCTGTGCGGTTCTGGGTCGGTTTCTGAATTCTGAGTTCTAACTTGATTGCACTATGGTCTGAGAGGCTGTTTGTTATGATTTCAGTTGTTTTGCATTTGTTGAGCAGTGCTTTACTTCCAATTATGTGGTCAATTTTAGAGTAGGTGTGATGTGGTGCTGAGAAGAATGTGTATTCTGTGGATTTGGGGTGGAGAGTTCTGTAAATGTCCACCAGGTTTGCTTGCTCCAGGTCTCAGTTCAAGCCCTGGGTATCCTTGTTGATTTTCTGTCTGGTTGATCTGTCTAGTATTGACAGTGGAGTGTTAAAGTCTCCCACTATTATTGTGTGGGAGTCTAAGTCCTTCTGTAAGTCATTAAGAACTTGCCTTATGTATCTGGGTGCTCCTGTGTTGGGTCCATATATGTTTAGGATCGTTAGCTCTTCTTGTTTTATCGATCCTTTTACCATTATGAAATGGCCTTCTTTGTCTCTTTTGATCTTTGTTGCTTTAAAGTCTATTTTATCAGAGATGAGAATTGCAACTCCTGCTTTTTTTTGCTTTCCATTAGCTTGGTAAATCTTCCTCCATCCCTTTATTTTGAGCCTTTGCGTATCCTTGCATGTGAGATGGGTTTCCTGGATACAGCACACTGATGGGTTTTGGCTTTTTATCCAATTTGCCAGTCTGTGTCTTTTGATTGGGGCATTTAGTCCATTTACATTTAGGGTTAATATTGTTATGTGTGAATTTGATACTGCCATTTTGATTCTAAGTGGCTGTTTTGCCTGTTAGTTTTTGTAGATTCTTCATTATGTTGATGCTCTTTAGCATTCAGTGTGATTTTGGAATGGCTGGTACTGATTGATCCTTTCTATGTGTAGTGCCTCTTTTAGGAGCTCTTGTAAAGCAGGCCTGGTGGTGACAAAATCTCTGAGTACTTGCTTGTTCCCAAAGGATTTCATTTTTCCTTCACTTCTGAAGCTCAGTTTGGCTGGATATGAAATTCTGGGTTGAAAGTTCTTTTCTTTAAGAATGTTGAATATTGCCCCCTACTCTCTTCTGGCTTGTAGTGTTTCTGCCGAGGGATCTGCTGTGAGTCTGATGGGCTTCCCTTTGTGGGTGACCCGACCTTTCTCTCTGGCTGCCCTTAGTATTTTCTCCTTTATTTCAACCCTGTTGAATCTGACGATTATGTGCCTTGGGGTTGCTCTTCTTGCGGAATATCTTTGTGGTGTTCTCTGTATTTCCTGCAATTGAGTGTTGGCTTGTCTTGCTAGGTGGGGGAAATTTTCCTGGATGATGTCCTGAAGAGTATTTTGCAGCTGGGATTCATTCTCTTCGTCCCCTTCTGGTACACCTATCAAACATAGGTTAGGTCTTTTCACATAGTCCCACATTTCTTGGAGACTTTGTTCATTCCTTTTTGCGCTTTTTTCTCTGATCTTGGTTTCTCGTTTTATTTCATTGAGTTGGTCTTCGACTTCAGATATTCTGTCTTCTGCTTGGTCAATTCGGCTATTGAAACTTGTGTTTGCTTCGCGAAGTTCTCATATTGTGTTTTTCAGCTCCTTTAATTTATTCATATTCCTCTCTAAGGTATCCATTCTTGTTATCATTTCCTCGAATCTTTTTTCAAATCTTTTTTCAAGGTTCTTAGTTTCTTTGCACTGATTTAATACATGATTTTTTAGCTCACAAAAGTTTCTCATTATCCATCTTCTGAAGTCTAATTCCGTCATTTCGTCACAGTCATTCTCCGTCCAGCTTTGTTCCCTTGCTGGTGAGGAGTTTTGGTCCTTTCTAGGAGGCGATGTGTTCTGGTTTCGGGTGTTTTCCTCCTTTTTGCGCTGGTTTCTTTCCATCTTTGTGGATTTGTCCGCTGGTCGTCTGCGTAGTTGCTGACTTTTCGTTTGGGTCTCTGAGTGGACACCCAGAATGTTGATGATGAAGTATTTCTGTTGCTTGGTTTTCCTTCTACCAGTCTAGCCCCTTCGCTGTACGACTGTTGAGGTCCGCTCCAGACCCTGCTTGTCTGGGGTGCATCTCTAGTAGCCGTGGCACAGCGAGGGATGCTACCAGTTTCTTTTTCTGCTCTCTTTGTCCCAGGATGATGCCTGCCTAATGACAGTCTTTTGGATATAGAGGGGTCAGGGAGCTGCTTGAGGAGACAGTTTGTACTTTATAGGGATTTAGTTGCTGAGCTGTGCACTCTGTTGTTCATTCAGGGCTGTTAGGCTGCTATGTTTGATTCTGCTGCAACACAGCTCATTAAACAACCCCTTTTTTTTTTCTCAAATGCTCTGTGTTGAGGGGTTTGGGCTTTATTTTTGGATGTCCGATCGGGTGTCCTGCCCAGCTCAAAGGCAGACTAGCCACTGTTTGGCTGCCGAGGCTCCGCCCTGCTGTTGTGTGATTCGCGCTGTTCCTGCCGGCTCTGCTGTGGTCTCCGCCACGCCCTGCGGCGGAGTCTCTTCGTTGTAGCGTGTTGCCTCAGCAACGGCAGGCTGCGTCAGCAGTGGGCGTGTATCTCAGTAGGGACGGGTTGCCTCGGCAATGGCTGGCTGCGTCAGCAGTGGGCGTGTATCTCAGTTGGGGCGGGTTGCCTCGGCAATGGCAGGCTACCTCAGCAGTGGGCGTGTATATCAGTTGGGGCAGGTTGCCTCCATAGTTGTGGACGCCCCTCCCCCACAGAGCGTCTCGGACCGTCTGCCCGGGATAGTTTGAAATCGCAGTTTTGTTCGTCCCACTGGGTATCCCTAGCGATCTGTCCCTGCAATCCCCTGGGCTGGGCTACTGTGGAAGTCTCATTCAGTCTCAAGTCCAGCCCTCTCAAGTCTCAGGTTGCCGGTTCAACAAGGCACCTGGACAAGCGTGCCCTGTGGGGATTGCTGGGTAGGGCCGGCCGCCGCCGCCGCGGCTGCCGGCTTCGCCAGGCAGACCTACTGCCTGGCGTCCCGTGTCTTTTTATACTTGGGAGTTTCCCCGTTCTGTGGGCAATAAAGATCAGTCTGGAAATGCAGCACTGACTCACCGTTTGCGAATTCAACACGGGCTCCAATCCTGGGTTGTTCTCACAGCGCCATCTTGAGTCCCCTCCAAGAATATTTTAAGATAGGTCTTATATTGTAATTATTTCCAGATTTTTTTCCTGTGATGAGAAAATAATAGACATAGACAGTTTATTTCTAAAGACAAGATTTTAGCATCCAACTTACCTGACAAGAATTTCCTTGTCTCCAAGTCCCTTGCAAAGTTGCATATGCAATTCTTCAATCTTCAGCCTTGGGCTTCTTTTGAAACACAGACTCCCTTTGTCTTCTCTCTCCAGGAACTCTTTCCGGACACCTAATGGATAATAAAATGAAACATAACCAGTCAAAATCAGGATATGATGGAAATGATTTTAAGCAAAAGTATTTCTCAAACTTTACACTGTGTAAAGGGCTTAGTATATTCCAACCTCATGTTTCTCTTCCTCGGGAGAGAAGCCACGTTTTCCTCCGATGGTTCTCTGAAGAACAATTATACCTGTACCTAATGTTTAATTAATATTAAAAATAAATTTCCTCTCTTCAACTTTCTTGCTTAAGTTAAGTCCTTGAAAACTTAGCTATGTCTAGTCAATACAGCATAAGACAACTCTATTTCGTTAACATATATGCAACAGAAATTCAAAAGTAACAAACTCAATATACTCTGTAGTACTTTACCTGTAAATCACCATATACCTGATGGAATAAATGAATTCTGGAAAATTATTTTAAAGCATTATCTCAACCTTTCTTAGTTGTCCCTAACTAGGATTTTCTCAGAGCGTTTCAGGTTTCATAACTTATCACAAATGACTTCCGCAGCTGAAATGTTCAACCTGGGACTAACTACACACATTGTTTGCCCACATGTATGCATGTGCATTCATCTTTATGTAAACAAATAATTTCTAAGCTTCTGAAACAGCAGAAGGAAAAGGTCTCACACATCTGAAAACCTAGAGAATGTAAAACCACCTAAAATGTCTTATTAAAGATCATTTAGAATTAATTCACTGAAAATTCACATCCTGTTTGTCAGAATACATCTACCATTCCAAAGACCATATACAAGCATGTCAAAGAACTCTAAGTACATGAGTATTTGCAGCCAATAAGTGAGAAACCTCCACCAAGCACAGCACATTCTATGCGTAGATTGTGTAATTCCCACATGCAGACCACGGTCCCTTAGAGAGTGGCAGAAAAGGAGGCCCTGCTCCCAAATATTACTCGGACAGCTGAGATCAAGGAACATTCCCAAGCTAGATTACATACCAAATATTTCTAAACAAAATGACATTAAACTACAAATATACTAAATTTTTCTTACATGACTGATAGTTCACTTGTTTATGATACTAAGCCCACTGTTATTTCATACCATGACTAACTCATACCTTGTAATCTGTCCTCAGGTAACCAAGAGTCAACTATATTAGTCATTCAAACACAGCAAATTAATGAATTATCAATCTGTTTCCCTTTATTTTGGCAATCAGTGTGTTTTCATTTTCTTAGGAATAGAATTAGGAAGAAAAATGAAGCTGATATCCAGAAATGACTTTTAATTGCAGACTCAACACCTACAATTCTTACTTCCAAAGAACAATACCAAGACTTGCTCCTCCAAATATCAATCAGCACCCCTAATCAGTGGCGTCCACTGAGTGCCCACGAAAATAAAGAATTTCAGGCTCACCTCAACACAGGAATTACAATCTGTCTTTTAACAAGAATTCTAAGTAGACGAAATACACATGAGTTTAAGGACACCACTGGAGCCCCTCAAGTGGTCATGAGGATGGGAGGGCTGGGTCTCTCCAGCCTTTGATGTGCCACAGGACCAAGGCATCCTGGAGGAAATTGATTTTAGGTGTGTTGCACCCATCTTGTTTCTCTAGGAGTGACCAACCTCAGTATAAGCACGTGATTATTGCACCTGCAGGTGGCAGCCAGACCCCACTACACTGAGGCTTTGAACACCACCAGGAAAAAGAAGAATGCAGGGCGCCGCAGCCCCAAACTGAGCCAAACGTTGATCAGCAGCAGAAAGTAAGTGGATTACAGAGAAACCGTGCTGGAGTGCACTGGCCACACTCGTGTCAGCATGTCCCACACAGACACACACACACTCCTCAACACACTCAGAAAGATACATGCATACACACACTCACACACACTCAGGAATACACAGGGAGGCATTCAACACTCGCATGGAAACCCACACTGCCAGGTAGCTCCTGAGGCTGCGGGGTTCTGCTCTCTTTCTGGAAATCCCTTGGGGACAGAGCAGCCCAGCCACAGGCCGGCAGTGGGTACCTGAAACTAATTCACTGGATTATCCCAGCCTGGAAATCCCAGTCAGGAGGGCTTTCAATGAGAGGCACCTTCCCACTGTTTGGGCAGGCCTGAAGCCTCTTAGTGATTCTTGGGGAGCGCCGTGGACATCCCTGAAATCCCAACAGATCTTTCTTCTGCCTGGTTTGACCTGCCGGATTCCTAAAATCGCAAGATGGTCACACGAAGAAAGGGTGCATTGCCCAATGCTGAGGCACTGCCACGGAGGGCCCCTGCTTTGCTAAGTCACTGAGATCATTTTCCAGGCAACGGTGGCTGTCACTGTGATGGGAGCTATGTCTCAACGCTGTGGCTTTTGACAGGCTGTTTGCGCAGGTGCTTTTGCGTGCCCAGCTGTGGAGCCACAATGTTGGCACTGTCCAGCGGATGCTGCCCATATGCACAAAGGAGTCGGTTCCAAGGGCAGCCCCCGAAAAGTCTGCATGCCATCACACCAGAGACACAGAACTTGGAATTGAGATTTTCTCCTGTGCTCCTTGCATCTCCTGAAAAAACCAATAATGATCCTTCCTGCGGCTTCAACATCCACATCTGTGAGAAAGCCGCTGGCGAGTGTGATATTTTCAAGAAGCCACAGTCCATGTTACCCCCTACAGAGCTCTGAACTTGCGCACTGGTGGGCCTGGCAGCGGTTTTCTCCCCAAAGTGTCTGAACTGCTCTCATGCTGGAGGGAAAAGAGGGGAGCAGCACAATGGACAGCGTCTGGATCTCAGGCCACTTTTCACAGCAACTTAGGAAATCAGGCTGCTGCCTGGGCTGGAGAAGCCACGATGCCCAGTAAAGACCCTGCAAGCATTTGGAGGAGGAAACCCAGCTGATCAGTGAGATGTTGTGTGAGGACCACACACGTCCCAGTAGGACACGAGAAAGGTGCGCTTCACAGCGCTTTGCCCTGATCACTGCCCAACCTGGACCTTCTTCTTCTGTCCCTCTTTCGACGCAATTCCCATGGCAAGGAAGTGCAGGCAATCAGTAGCCAACATCGCTATGGAAGCGGCGAGGTCCACACTGCCCTGGCAACCCCTTCTGTGTTAACCACCTCCTTGCATTTCATCTGCTGGGATTCTAGTTTAGCCGTCTTGCCACCAACGGGCGGGGAAATTTTCAGAGGTACAGTTTCCAGCCCTGGGGAAAAAATGAGCCTCTCAGCTCTTTCTCAAGAACTGCACCCAGTCCCCGACCCCATGACATGCCGGGATTGTAGTTTTGAAGTGCTTTTAAACAACTGTGGGAGCAGTGAAGAGATCACAAGTCCCAGAATGCACAATCACAGATGACAACTCCCAGTATAACAGGTGTAGCTACCCCTCTCCGATCCAGGCCTTCCCTCGTCCAGAGCAGTTCTGCCATGCCAAAGGTCCCTGACCATTCCCAAACCAATCCTGCCTCTCACAGAGGGACAGGACTGCTGGTAATACCTTGTAATTATGCCATAACTCTCCCTAAAAAGCTGGCTTTATGCTCAGTCAGTGCCAGCAGTTTGATTTATCACTGAGCAGCAGGGGACCTGGAGCTGCTCACAAACCTGTCAGTTGCCATAGTAATGATCCTCCCTCTGTAACTGAACTCTCTCCGTCCCCTTCCTTCACCCCATCCCTTCTCTTCCTTCTCTCCTTCCCTCTGCCCCACCTCATCCCCTTGGCCCTGCCTCTTCCCTTCCCTCAGCCTTTCCTCTCCCCTCGGCACTGACCTTTCTCTCTCCGTCCCTAAAACTCTTTTTTGGACATGCGCAATGTAGTCCCTGTGTAGAAATGTGGCTACTGGCCAAGTGTCTGACAGTTCTTGGACTTCTTCAGATCCCACGCGGGCAGCTCCATCGTGAATGTCTGAAACCATCAGGTCATTGACAGAAATGAATATACATTGTCCCTGAACCTGGCACTTGCTTTTTCAAAGCAAACATTTCCTCTATTATCTAGGCTGTCACAAATCCTCCTACGGACCCCAAGAGCACCCTTTGGACCTCGAGACTTCATCATGGCCCACTACTGGGTTAGGCCTTGAAAAGGGACGCTCCTGACACTCTAATAAAATGTAGAAAACGTCACAGTGAAAAGCTGGCCCTGCTGCATCCGGTAAGGAAACAGCCACAGGGAAGGGAGCCCCTTAACCACTTTGGGAGCCACATTTACCACTTCTTTTCTTCAACCCAGGCTGGTTCCCAAGCCTTGGGGTCCTAGTGTGGATCTCCAGTTAACGCAGGTGCAGGATCAGAGAGCCCCTTGGTCCCTCCCAGCACGTGAGAGAAGTTTGTGTGGTGAGGTCATGAACAGTGTCTGTGTTTCTGTTATGAACAGGGCTTTCTTGGAAACACGTTTAATTTCCGTTTTTAACTATTTCTTTAAAACTACATTTAATAATTTGCTGGTGGAACTTAACAATGATAATTTCTTGAATCCATTTCTTTTTCTTTTTTGAGACAGAGTCTCACTCTGTGGCCCAGGCTCTACGATTTGATCTTAGCTCCCTGCAACCTCTACCTCTCAGGTTAAAGTGATTCGTCTGCTTCAGCTTCTCCAGTAGCTGAAATTATAGGCAGATGGCAACACGCCTGGCTCATTTTTGAATTTCTAGTAAAGATGGGATTTCATCATATTGATTAGGCTGATCTCAAACTCCTGACAAGTGATCCACCTGCCCCGGCCTCCCAAAGTGTTGTAATTACAGGCGTGACCCAGCACTCCTGGCCTGAATGCATTTTAACATTTAGTTTTTCAGATTAACTGGAAGTACCAAAAGACTATGTGCTAATGAAACTAGAAGAGGCACAGCCTCAGCTCCTTGCAGGACAGATGCACAAGAGCAGAATCTCCGTGGGATGTCTTTCTGGAGCCTCAATATTACTGCAGATTTGGAAGAAGCAAATTTAAATAATTTCCAATTTAAGACACTGGAAATTTAAGAGAAAACTGGAAAGTTATCTGCCTTTAATAATTGTCGGTCATCTGTGCCTAAGTCAGACGTTCTCCAAGAAAATAAAAGGAACTCTGAGGAGAAACTATTTTTCATTCTTCTAAGTAATTAATATCAGAAATCACAGAAAGTCGGTAGAAAGCCCTGCCAGTCTCCTAAGTTAAAGTATGGCCTCGGAATGATTTTATTTGTGTTTTTTGGAGGGGTTTCTTGACATATTGGGTATAAAAACTGGGGGGATTTGACAGATTTTTGAAATTTTTTAGCTACCTTTTGGTAATGTACTTTGCACCTCATTTAATTTTTCTGTCCCCTCTTCAACTTGGACTCCGTCACTTCACATATCTCTAAGACTCTTCATTTCCTTTAAGCTTTTTCACTCTTTTATTCAGAATGGACAATTTCTATTACTCTTCTGTTTCTAGTCTTTGAATAAGCTGAAAAGTATTTTTTAAAATTTCTTATCTTCTTCTTTCATAATTTCCCTTTTTTCTTGCTGATGTTCCACATCTCTTAATCCATTCTTAGACTATTTTTCTTAACTCCCATGAACAGATTTATAATAGCTGTTTTTAAACCTCCTGAATCACTCTTCAAAGGTACACAACAGAATTGGGAGTCTCTATAATGATTCCTTACAGTTTTAGCACACAACTTTACAATTGATACAACATGTGAAGAAACACAAAAATGTAATGTAATCCATACACAATTTAAAAAGCAGGCAGTAGAAGTGGCCCGTGAGTGGTCCCCATTTCCACACCCTTCCATGCTGCACTACTGCCAGGCCACTAGGGGTGAGGGATGTGCACAGAATAGCACTGGAACCTGAATCGGGCACTGGGCTCTAACAAGGAGGTTAGGGAGTTGTGTCTCAGAAACCTTCTACACCAACGCTTTCTGACAACAGACAGACAAATGGAGGTCCTGTATAGAACAAAAATGCTTGGACACATAGGAGCTGCCTGATGAGGGAGGGCCCCAATTTTCCTCTCCCACCAAGGGCACCAGCAGAGGGAAAGGCTTTGTCCAGCTCAGCCTGCAGCTCATGCAGTTTTGCAGTCATGCAGCTCTACAGTTTCAGCACTCAGGGAGCACGGACTGGCAGCTGCTCTGAAGCCTCCACCACTCAGAAGTAAAATGGGCCCAATCCTCCAGCTCACAAGGCAGGGGGAGGACTGTGCCGCTCACACAGAAGGAGGCTTGCTGAGATGGAAGGGCTGAATCCAGGGCTCTCTCCTCCCAACACTCGGGATCCTGGTCCTCGATGTGCCTGCACCAGGCTTACCCCATCCACAGTCCTTCATTGCAGTGTCTAGCTTCACCAGGTCAGTGAGACACCTGCCCAAAGAGGGCCCATCACCCTGGGCCATTGTAGTGATAGTGGTGGTGAGTCCCCACTGTCAGGTGCCCACTCAAGACCCGTCTCCTAAAATCTCACCAACCCCTCCTGCCTATAGACTTCCTCCCCAGTTCTCCTACTTGAAAGACCCCAGGACCCTCAGCTGCCTCCCCCAGTACTCTCCCTACTCTCCATGTCTCCCCATCTGGTCTCCAAGGCCAGTAGACATCCCTAGTTACTTCCATGGTGGGATTTTAACAAGTTATAAGGTCATGGAGTCCCCTGTCCTACCGTTCCCCAAATCTACCCTGAGCCCAGCTCACCCAGGTGGTTTCTCTGGTCTCTCTGACGGAGGCATTTTAGGCTCTGTGACTACATTAGGGAAGGGCTGGGGGAGGAAGACTCCCTGCTCACTTGATGTGGAGGCCTCCAGCAGGGAGGGAAGAAGCCTGTTTTTGACTCCCTGGAGACCCTCCCCAACACACATATACTCACCTGCTGCTCCTACAGCCTTATCTGGGTTGTCTGGGGATTCTTCTCTAGCATGGGCAATTTGGAGGTTCCCACCTGCCAGGGTCTGGGACAAGGTGAGGGAGACTATTTTTTCCTCCCTTCACTCAGTTATACCTCAAATCCTAGATTACTGGCCTAAGCCAACTGTGGCAATGCTCCCACCCCTCCAGTGAGCCCTGATCCTAGATTAACTCCCAGCTCCAACACGCACTGTCTGTGTCACCCTGGGCAGGTGGCTGGGCCCCCCTGAGACTGTTTCCTCATCTGGGAGGTGTGATGGAAACCACACCTTCCTCACAGGGCCTCCCGAATACTCAGTTTCATGTGGCTCTCAGCGTTTCTCTCACCATCATTGTTCGTGGAACGGGCCAGGTGCGAGCAACCTCAAATTCTCTTCCTCCCTGAACCCCATCATCATCTTGTGACAACTGCAAACCAGGCTCATCATTTGTACATTTTCCAAATGAGGAAATAGAGGCCCAAAGATGGCAGTGAGTTGCCCAGAGCCTCACAGGAGAAGATGGCTTCTCCCACACTTCAAGGCCCGGTCCCAGCTGCCTTCACCCCACATGCCGGCACCACCACTGTACAGGGTCCCATTCTCTGGAGTCTAGGGGTGTCCACATTCCCATCCAGACCCAGCTATGGTGGGAGAGGGAAAAGGTGTCTTGGGGGACCTGGTTGAGCAGCAACTATTTGTCACAGAACCACTGGAATCTCTGCTCCACATGCCAGGCTTTATGTTAGACCACAGACCTCACTTACCCCATGATGTACCAAGGGAGTTCCCTGCACAGAACCCTCTCTTTCTCCACTCAGAAGGTGTGGTCACCCAAGATGCCATTTCAGACTGACAAAACAGGGTTTTCCTAAGGTACTGGGTGGTGACATGTCACTTCCTCATTTCCAGGGAAGGTTCTGAAATCAGGTCAGGAAGAATCCACAGAGAATTCAAAAGTCTCCAGGTACTTATACCATCTGGAGCTTTTAGTAGTACTCACTGGGCACTGGGGTGAGAATCCCACAACTGTGACTGATTAGCAGTGTCTGCAAAGGACAGAGTGGGGAGCCACAGCAAACATATATATATCCACATCATATTTACCAATGGAGACTCACCTGGCAGATATTCCTCTGCTGTCCCCATCATTGGTACAGACAGAGTGACCCTCCCTGTATAGGTGCAGTACAGGAAGAAGCAGTAACAGAGGCCTGGCTTCCTATGAAATTGCTGGGCAGGTCTGGGGAAAGAAGGAAGCCCCACCTACCACACCCACCTCACAGCCTGCAGGAAGTCCGTGCTAGCAGCATGGATCAATGTGGGAATCAGAGCACTGATCTTTCTGCATTTCATCATGCCTGCTCGACAGCCCAGCTGCCATCAGCACATCCAATTACTGGGGTTGCCTGTCCCCAAACTTTCCACCTGCCCACAGGCAAACACTTGACTTTCACTTAATCTACTCTAGACAGGGCTGGAGGTTTTCAAGTAAACGTTTAGTAAAAAAGACACATACACACACACACGCACACACACAAGTGTGCACACCCTCACACCTGGCCCAGTACCCCTTCCAGCCTAATCTATTTCTCTACCCCTGAAAACCTCTGACACCCACCTCCCATCTCTACGTTTTATTGATGTGCAAATCCTACTCAGGGTACTGTCTTTTCTGAAAATATTTTAAAATTTTCTGGAGCTTTTTCTGAGGAGAGGAAAAAGAAGGAAAGATTCAAGAAACAAGAAGGTAAAAGAAAAAATCATTTGAGAATAATAAGCAGATGTGTACATTCAATTTTCTTTTGAGAACCGAAGGGATCAAACTGCCTGGATGAGAACGTCTATGCTGGTCCCCTAAACCCTTAGGGCTCCATGGGTCTGGGAAAGGAGCTCTGTGGAGGCTAAAGCAACTTTGCGTTGGATGCAAATCCACCATGTTTACTTCGGAGTAACCCCAATTCTGGAAATGCCTTTAAGATTTCCACCTGTTCTGCTGTTTCTTGTGTAAGAGCACATACCTACTGCTAATCTTCTCCTTAGGTCAAAGCAACCTGGATGTATTATGCAAATTTCAGGCTACAATGGGCACATCCTTCTCTTCCTGGAAGGCTGACTTTAATTGTCCTGCACAATCTGAATACAGCATATTTTCTCTTTTCCTATACTACGTAAGCCCTAAATCTTGGGGTAACTGCCTGGAGAACTACTTAAGTTGCTACAATTCAAGATCATGCTTCTGTTCATAAATTCCCCACAATAAATTACCATTTACTGAAAAATTGGATTTGTCTGTCTCATTCTTTGGTTTCTTGATGCCTTCTGTGTTGGGGAATCCCTTTGAAAATATGGCACTTTTTATATTACTAATATAAAGCAAGATATATTAGTCCATCCTCACACCACTATAAATAAATACCTGGAACTGAGTTTCCTTGGCTCACAGTTCCACAGGCTGTACAGAAAGCAAAGTGCGTTCTGCTCAGCTTTGGGAGAGGCCTCAGGGAGCTGAAAATCATGTTGGAAAGGGAAGAGGAAACAGAGACATCTTTTCTGGCTGGAGCAGGAGGAAGAGGGAGAAGGGAGAGGTGAGACACACATTCAAACAACTAGATCTTGTGAGAGCTCTCACTATCACAAGAACAGCATGGGAGCGATGGTGCTGAACTACTCATGAGAAACCACACCCATTATTCAAACACCTCCCACCAGGCCTCACCTCCAATACTGCAGATTATTATTAGATTTGAGATTCAGGTGTGGACACAGATTCAAACTATACAGTGGCTTGTGGGTATGCCTGGATTTTGGTAATCACAGCTATTGGCAAAACTTGTGTCTTACTTAACCCATCATGCCCAGGAATGTTATGGTGCCCCCTGGTCCCTGGACTTTCTGGGCCCTGGCCTATCCTCTGGATTGTAAATGCTCTAAGAGTTCTGGGTAGGTTTCTGAAAAATACTTAAGTCTGTGGAGAGTAAAAGAATATTATCCATACAGTGTTCCCAGAGAATGAGGGGTACATCACTCCAAAATGTCTCACTTCACTCTAAAACATGCCAGAGAGGTGGGCTGTTGGGCTGAGTAACTTTCACTGGGAACAACTAAAAGGTACACTGTTGTTCTTCTCAGCTGAAGGCAAAAAGGTCCTGGGACTTTGAGTCTAAACTTATGCTGCAGAAAGCATTTGCCAATGGCAGGACTGTGCCATAGACCTGAGCAACTACTTAGTTTTTCCAGGATTTGAGCCATTTGGGGGATAGCAGCACACATGGCCAGAGTCACCTTATTCAGTTCCCAATAATCAATGATCAACCGTCATATTATCCCAATAATCAACTATCACACTCCAGGTTCCCTCAGGCTTGGGCACCAGTCACACAAAGCTGTTTTATGGACTCTGTGCAGACATGCAATCCCCATTCTCTCCAAGTCCTGAAGAGAAGATATGATCTCAGGCCAGGCACAGGGGCTTACACATGTAATCCCAGCACTTTGGGAGGTCGAGGTGGGTGGTTCACTTGAGGGTAGGAGGTTGAGACCAGCCTAGTCAATATGATGAAAGCTCTTCTCTCCTAAAAATGCAAAAATTAGCCAGCATCATAGCACATGCCTGTAATCCCAGCTACTTGGAAGTCTAAGGTAAAAGACTGTCTTGAACCTGAAAGGAGAGAGTTACAGTGAGCCAAGATTATGCCACTACACTCCAGTCTGGGTGGCAGTGAGACTCATTAAAAAAAAACTGTTATCTCCTGTGCCCTCCTGAAAGCTGATATTGTTTATTGTCTGATGCACACCAGTCCTCTTATGTGAGACTATATCACCAGGTTCCATGTGGCTTCCCCTCAGAGCATGGCTTTTGACACCCTCACCTAGAGATAGAACTTGTCTAAGGTTGCCTCTAGGGCAGTTTCCAAGAGAGCATTTGTCCCAACATGTACTGGGCGATTGGGAAGATGGAGACCCCTCAGAGCCAAAACTCATTGCTTGCTCTGAAGGGACCAGTGACTCACTCTATCCACATGGGGTCCCTGGTCTCTTTCAGTGGCCCGACATTGAGGGGAATCTTGGCCTTCCTGTCATGGTAGGGGCTTTGATGCTAGCTCCCTTCCTGGGAGAGGGAGGAGGTGGTGGAACCAGCCTGCTCCTCACACTGGCACCCGCACTCAATTCCCAGCCCCCAGAATTCTGCTCCTGGCCTGTATGGGTCCCAGTATCTGCCCAGTATCAGAACTCAGCCCTGCCCCTCAAGGTCTGACCTGGTGCAGCTACCACCTAGAGCCCCAGTGAGTTTGAGGTGAGTGTGAGGCAAGTGGCACAGCTTCTCTTTTCTTCTCTGTCTGCCACAGAAAATGGGACCCTGGGCCCTTGCAGCCACTGCCATTCAAAGCCACCCTCAGAAGCAGGCCTGAGGCTTCAGCCTCCCCTGGCAGCTCTCTGCCAAGGCTTTCTTTCATTTAACCTCCATAGGGGCAGCTAACAGAGTGAACAACAGTGGGCAGGACTTTTTCTAGGTTCATTTCTGCTTCTCTAACTTGGGGACCTTGCTCTCGGCTACCAGGTGAACAGTCCATGGCTGAGGCCAACCTAAGCCTTCTCTGCCCACTGACCTCCAAGCTCCTTGGCAATTTCGAACTCCCCATCAGTCTCCTCTAGCCTGGTGGAACTTTCACCACATCTTGGCACTCACAGGGCAGTCCACAGGCATCAGACAGTGGGTGACAAAGCCTCACATAGGCACTTGCAGGCAACCCAGGATCTCCCCAGCAGGATCCTGTTCTCGCCAGCCCATTCTCCCTCTCTCTCTTTTCCTTTTTGAGACAGAGTCTCCATCTGTCACCCAGGCTGGAGTGCAGTGGTGTGATCTCAGCTCAATGCAACCTCCACCTTCTGGGTTCAAGTGATTCTCCTGCCACAGCCTCCTGAGTAGCTTTGATTAAAAGTGTCCACCACCACACCCAGCTAGTTTTTGTATATTTAGTAGAAACAGCATTTCACCAGGTTGGCCAGGCCGGTCTCCAACTCCTGACCTCATGATACCCCCACTTCAGTCTCCCAAAATGCTGGGATTACAGGTGTCTGTCCACCCAGCCCATTCTTTTGAATAATCCCAACTACACCAGTTCTTCCATCAGGCTGAACCAGTGGCTGAAGTTGCTCCCAAACATGAGATTAGGGGATATGCATATGTAAAACTGCAATAGCTATAGGTAGATCACTTACGAAGAGAGCTTTGGAAGGGACATTGCCACCAGCAATTTCTGAATATAGCTGTGTCTCCCAATCCAGATTCACCTGGATGTTAACTTTAATTTTTTGCCAATATAATGTCCATGTGGAAAACAAAATCATGTAGATTCATGTTGATTTCCAGTTTTCTGACTGAAATGTTCAAGTTGTCTTTCAATTGCTTAATACGTGTGTTTTCCCTGAGTCATCTGCTCAGATTCTTGGCCTTGAAACCAACTTTCTCCCATCCTGAACTCTCCCAGCATTTTCCCCCTTGTCATGGCTGGAATGTAGCTACTTGGCAAGGTTCCTTTCAATGCTAAAAATTTGTGTTACTTAAAGTCAAAAAGGTACTCCTAAGCTGTCTTGGCTTGTGTGCTGTCTCTACAATAGAAACTGAGGCTTCTTGAGGCCCTTTCAATCCATGTGAGGAGCAGATACAGCCACGATTAGCTTGAAGGAAATTGCTTGCAGCCATTGCTGCTTACAATTCTCAGTTCTGACCCATGTGCTGTTGAGCAGACATTTGAAATTGCAAAACTTGTGTTTTCCCAACTCTACAACAAGGACATTTTATGAGGATTCGCTGGGATAATTCTCTTCATACAGGCTGTTAATATAGGTGGGTGCTGTTGCTCCACAGATGAAAAAGTATCATGAACATGGCTTGAAGGTGTTAATGGCTTAATTATTCTCCACCTCCACATAAAACTTTGTTTTTGTTGTTTGTTTTGCAGATGGGGTTTTGCACTTGTAACTCAGACTAAAATGCAATGGTGCAATCTTGGCTCACTCTAACCTCCTTCTCCTGGGTTCCAGCAATTCTCCTGCCTCAGCCTCCTGAGTAGCTGGGATTACAGGTGCCGACCACTTCACCTGGCTAATTTTTTGTGTTGTTAGTAGAGACAGGGTTTCACCATGTTAGCCAGGCTGGTCTTGATCTCCTAACCTCAGGTGATCTATCTGCCATTGTCTCCCAAAGTGCTGGGATTACAGGCCTAAGCCACTGTGCCTAACACACATAGATCTTTGGAAGCCTAGAACCTTCTTCACCATGCACAGGTATGTCCTCCACATGCACACGTGTCTAAAGAATAGGAGCTTCCTCATATAAGCCCCAGCCCCCAACCTGCCAGTGGTTCACAGTGATATCATTGAGCATATGCCTCTTCTTGTTCCACTCCATATAAAAGTATGTCTACCCTAAACCCTGAGATGAGAATTATGCAGATACTCCCAGCCAGGTACAAGGGAGAAGCTGAATAAGCCTCTGGTACTGGACTTCGGAGTTGAGCCATCTTCTCTTTCACCACTTTCCTGGGCTCCTAACAGTACCCCACCCTTAATCCACAGTTCCTGGGCCAGGTGTAGGTGTCTAATTCCTTCAAGATGCACTGGTGACTCAGCAAGCTGCTAGGTGTGTACTAAGGATATCACAGCAGCTCTCTCAATCTATGCCTTTGAAAAGTGGGAAGATGAATCTTGTAGAGACCAAATGGCAAACTACACAGCGAGAAGATGTGTAGTGCCTGGCTCTGTACGAAGGCTGCTTAGGATGTTCTGGTTGCTTATATATACATTTTTCTGTCTTTTTGCAAAAGAAGTTCTCTGCCTCATTGGCCTGTGCCCCTCTATATTTGGATCACCACATAGAAAGCAAAGCTGTTTTTGCATTTGTAAGCCACATTTGAGATTCCTTCTTGCTGGATTTTGTCCTTGGCACAGAATGAACAAACTTCCCGGGGTTCTGAAACAGGAGTCCCTCTCCAATGTAGATATCAGAAAAGGTTCTCATTGAGATTTGTTTATTCAATACATATATTATAAGCATAATGTGCAAAGTCAGTTTTCTAGATGCTTGGCATAATTTAATCAACAAAGATGACAGTCCATGGGTTCTGGATATTTACTGTTAATTATGGAGCTTCTGTTACACAGCTAGCACTGCCCTGTGTGTTGATTTATGTGCCAAAACAGCCCCATGGTGTATGAAGCCTCCTATTGTTTACATAAACAAATTGGCTCAGTAAACTTGATCATGTGCATTACAAAA